CATTGATTCCATGGGCCACGGTGGTCAACATCAGTCGCAAGCGGAGTAAAGCTGCGAACAGATACTGACCCTTGCCGTACACTATATCACAACTTATCTCCCACCACCAATGCTCTCCTAACCACCTCTGACTTGCTTACTGGAAAAAGTTCCCCAGTGTGCTACAACTCGTGCAGAATTTTGTGGCCCGATGTCCCATTGTTCCTGGGGCCGACGTTGTGAATTAGGCGACCCTACCCTTTTAAGGCTCCTTATGGTATCTTAACAGCTGTTATCACTCCCTGCAACCCACCAATAATGTTCCTATCCTGCGCCCTATCTTATCAATTGGGAACAACGTCTGGTCGTTTCCGTGGTCGGCGTTATATTAGTAGGCAAACCCCTTTGAGGCCCTCGTGGTCCTCACCCTTGCTGCTAGCTCAGTTCATGGATTTGGCGTCCCTTCCCTTCTTATGGACTCCTTAACCTGGTATCTTATCAGCTCTTATCGTTGCCTGCCACCCACCAATAATGTTTCCACCCAGCCCCCTATCTTACCAGTTAAATTCAAGGTCTCGTTGTTGCTCTGGCGGGTATTATGAATTCGGTAACCCGCTAGTCCTAAGGCTGCTTATATCTATGCTATGGTATCTCGTATCAGCTGTATCACTCTGCCACCCACCGATAATGTTCCCATCCTGCCCCCTATCTTACTTCTTGGAGCCAGCGTCTCGTCGTTTCTGAGGCCCGCGTTATAAACTTGGTGACCCTTCCCTTCTAAGGCTCCTCGTGGTATCTTGTCAGCTGTTATCACTTTCTGCCACCTACCAATAGTGCTCCTCTATCGCTCTTTTGAAAGAAGTTATGAATTTCCGATCAAACACACACACAGACATACATACGCACACACACCAACAGACAAACTTAGCGGATTATATATAGTACGATAATAATATATAAACCCAGCCGTGCAATAATTTTATGAGCAGACTTCTGCGATCCAGTTCCTTCAACTGCATTGAAAAATAAAACAGTCGGGGATAATGAGCATATTCTGTCATATTTCCTCAATAGATACATTTTCGGAAAGAATCTATCCAGCATACATTAAGAGTAATTCAGTCTTCAAAGTGAGCTCTTACTTAGCGGAACTTCTACACGATTTATTATTGTCCACTCAAAGACTACCGTTATCCGCCCAACCTTTTTTTCTATTGCTAGGAATGTGTCTGCTCTGAAAAAAGGTGCTGGGTGATTTTGGGTGATTGCACTGCACGCCGTGCGTTCTCCGTTTCTCGAAAAATCGGAAGCCTCAACCAACTTCCAATAACAAGAGTTGCCTGGGAGAGGATTTTACATTATTTAGAAAGAGCAAGAAGTCCGAACAGTCGGAATTCTACTTGTTATGCGGCACAGAGGTTGAGCTGTTACATGGAAACTATGTCTCTGAATAGTCGTTGAAAACAGCCATTCAGAGACACAGTTTCCATGTACAGCTCAACCTCTGTGCCGCACAGTATAAGCCATTTTTTTATGATCATTTATTCGGGAGCTGCGCATCGTTGAATAGTTGCGTGAACTCTACGGTGTGAGCTAGGCGAGAAATTGCGCATGAGGGCTTACGATTAACGTAGAAGTGAGTTCGCATTGACCTAAACAACGATGGCCCTGCCCAGGGAAACTTTCGTGGAGTCCGAATTAATCGATTTTTCTCATTGTGTCTTGCTTTTACCAATAAACCTCTTTATGTTATTGCAACTCTTCTGTCGACAATTGCGAACTTTTTCATTTGATAGAACAGTTGCGTGCATTTCTTCAGAAGAGACCGGGCTGCGCTCGATTTGCCTTAGTTCGAAAGTGAGTCTGAATTCCGAAATAATTTGCGGCGTCAAGACTTCAACAGCCTAGGTGATAGTTTCATTAGGGCTGCAATACATTTCCGTGTTCCGAAAGCAACCGTGGGAACGCTGGAAACTTCTTTCATTTTGGTTCAAGCGCGGGCAGTTCAGGATGAAATCATTCAGAAGTATAATGGATGTGTAATCATGTCCGGAGAATAATGTGCATTTGCATAACGAAATGGTGCCCAAAAAGATGCGTATCTCCAGGCGCGTGAAAAAGCTCAAAAAGCCTCTTCGCTCAGCGATATTCTCT